TTTCTTTTCTTACTGTCCCTCCCATCCCCCAACACCTTCCCCGCCAGAGCTGTCATGTGCTGGATGAGATGTTAGCTCCTTCTGTTGTGGGGTGTGAGACAGATCCTGAATCTTTACTAACCAAATTTGGTGATGGCAGGGCCCACTAGAAATTAGCAAATGACAAGTCCACGTAGCAATCCAATCTGAATTCAAACCCTGAGAGGAATAAATGGTCATTACCATGAAACCCATCCATTAAACTGAAGACCTATGTTCCAGCTTCCCCAGCAATATAAATTATCCTAAGAGACATGCAGCAAACAACCTGGACACACTTACAAAGCTGCAAACATTCACCTTTTCCTGGCTTCTCTGTCCACATTCCATTACTGCTAGGCCTCACCTCTCCTGGAACTCTTGGAAATACACAAATTAGAAATACAAAGCATCTTAGCATTAACATCTTCACTGTCCCGCCCAAGCAGGGAACAAAGCATAAGGAACACATACAGGGGCCATGCTCAGGGGTTACCTGTCTGTGTGTGGGAAGCCAGAGGGCAAGCAGGTACTGGGGGAGGGGGACAAGAGTTGGGAGTGCAAGAGCAACTGGAGCATATGACCGAGAGAGAGAGAGAGCGCCCCTGCCTATCCTGGGCCTTTATGGGAGGGCTTGTGAGGAGAGTGGTTACACCACTAGGCAATATCGCCTCCTTTCAAGTTCCAGGTGATGATAGGTGAGTGCTACAAGTGTGCAGGAAGGACCACACAGATGGAGGAGATGTGGCTTTCAAGCCCCTGAACCTGAACTAGCTGCCTAAGACTACCACATTTCGTTGATCAGCTTTGCTCACCTGAACAAGATTTAGCTGTGTTAGTAGCCTTGAAATAAAGACAGAGCAATTGAGCAAATCATCACCCAAGCTGTAAGATCCTGAGCTGTTTGCCCAGCGCTTTTTCTCAGATGTGGAAACAGACCAGCGCCTTCTGCAGAGTCAAGGTGGGAATCCCTCCTCACTTTTGGACTCACTGATGATCCCTTGGATGGAATGTACTGATGGTAAGGAGTGTGGATTCCGGGGTTTCAAAGACTGCTCCTCCCTTGGGGCTGGGGACCAGGCCCTCTTCCTCTTCCAGGCTTTCACCAGCTGATTCCAAGCTGAGGTTGAGACTCTGGGGAAGGAAGCGGGACAGGTGTGGAAGTTTGGGCTTGTAAGCCTCTCTAAAGTGGAGGAACAAGAGAGGAGAGAGGATGGGAGGTGAGCAGAAAGGGAAGGGAAGGGAGGGGAAAGGAAGAGAGGAGTAGAATGAAAGGGGAATGGAATGGAAGAGAGTGGAGGAAAGGAGGGGAGGGAGAGGAAGGGAGGGAAAGAGTAGAGAATGGAAGGGAGGATAAGAAAGGAAACGCCAGCCTTGAGAGAATCTAAGCTAGCCCACGGATCTGGCTCCAGTTCACGGACTTAGAGCACATTACTTTGGGAGCCTCACTTACTGACTGCAGGTGTGTTTTAAGTCCCTATGGTAATAAAAGGCCACTTACTCAGCGAGAGCTTGGAACTGAGTGCGGCTGACTGCTTGGCCTGGAGGGAGGAAGCATTTACTTCAAACTACGTGTGCAAGTAACTGCTCTTGTTCTTATGTGACAGGTAGGAATTTTCTAAACTGATTAAGAATTTCAATTTATGAGATACAACTCAAGATGGAGATCCTTTTAAGGAACCTTTTGGAGGCACACATACACGAGCCCATTATTGCAGAAGAGCAGTCAATGGCCTTAGAAACTCTGAGATTTTCCAAGAATTGTATTTCCATCTCCCGCTTAAAGTAACGGCTATGGGCCAGCGTTTGCCCTCAACAAAGATGGCTCCTTAGCGCACCTACGGGAGTGCCCTCATAAAAAATGGCAGCTAGCTCTCTTTCATTAGTTTTCTGAGCCTGGGCGCCGGCGTCCTGCCCTTACTTAATATGGCACACATCTCCGCTTCCCTGCCCCAACTTCGGACTGCGCTGGTCGGCTTCACGGCGCTCGGCTCCGCGACTCCGCCTTGCTTCCGCAGGAAGAAGCGGCGGGAAAGATGGCGGCCGCTGTGGTTTGAATTCCAGCGGCGCCGCCGGAATCCGAACAAGAGCTGGGTTGGAGGAGGCGGGGACCGGGGGAGCCGGGCGGGTCGCGACAGCGGGGCCAGCGGTGGCGCCGCCCCCACAGACACCAACGACACCGTCGCCTCCGTGTCCGGCATGGACTCGGTGTTGGAGGAGGACGTCACTCTCCCCGGGACGCTCAGCGGTTGCAGGTGCGGCCCGGCGGGGGGCTTCGCGCTCAGCGCCCAGGTTGCCCACTGAGCCCAGTCGTAACCGGGGTCTGGGGGTTGCTACTGAGGGTTTTGGAGTTTGGTCACGGGCAAGTGTGCGGGGGTGAGTTCTTGAGCATGGGGCTGGGGCTGGGGCATGGGCCACTGGCTAGCTGGTGGGGAGGGGTCCCCTACACTCGCCTCCACATGGGTGGAGGAGGAGGTGAAGGCCGGATTAAGGGGCTTGGAGTCTGCCACTCTGGGTGCGTTTTGGACGAGGAGTTTGTTTTCACCGTGGGGGAGGTGATGTGGCCATCCAGACTTGAAGTATGGGGTCCCAGAATGGCCCCCAGGGTGGAAGCTTTAGCTGGAGTTGGAACTGGATTCAAATCCAGAATTGTAAACTAGCCAGCATTGTGACTTTGGCCACGGGACTTAATCCGACTTAGCATCTTGCCAACACTGGGCATGCGTCCTTACTGCCTGGTGTATAATCAGTGCTGAAAACCATGATTTTGTGTGGTTGGTGTCGTTACCCTCATCAGTGGTGATGGGAGTTGAAGAATAGTGAGCGAGCGTGGCCTTTCAATAGATCGTCGCTCCGGAGGCTGTGGGAGTCCTCAGGCAGGCTTCACTTGGCTCGGGACTCTGGTTGAGTTCTGGACTGCTCCATTCTGGATCTCTGTGGTCGTCTCAGGTTCCTGGAGGGAGAGTGGGGTGGGAGGAAGAGGAGGAGGACCCTGACTGAATCCACGTTGCTTGCCCAGCTCTCCTAGCGACAGGCTGTGTTGTTTAGTGTGCAAAACTGAACGCTTTTCGGGGTGAACTGGGTTCAGTCAACACTTAGCCTGGGCAGACCTGGAGCCTGGTTCCGCTGTGTGTTGAACTGCTCTGTGTGTCAGGCACAGGCGAGGCCCCTGGCAGCTCCTAGCTCATCAGACCCTGTGCAAGCTCATGTCCTTTTCTCTGCATGTGTCGCTGCTGTCTCCTGGCTTTCTTCATGCCTCGTGCAGTTTTGCATCCTGCAGCTTGAAAACTCTACCTCAGTTGGCCGCTGTCGAGTGCTGTGGACTGTTTTCTGAGCTGGTGCCGTTCTCGTTGCGGTCCTGTTTGACCTAGTCCTTGGTTTGGGACCCAGACCTAGCTGACTTTGAATCTTAGTCTGACCTTGGGAAGTCACGCATCGTCTTTGCTCAGTTTTCTATAAAATGAATTGGTATGAAGCCTATGATTGGCGTGGGATTAACATGAGTTTACTCAGCAGAGCAGTGAGCACTGTGCTTTCCTTCCTTCCTGGTAGCCCGACAGCCAGCATCCTCCCTGGCCTCTCCCCATCGTTAGGGTGAAGTTCTTCACTGTAACTTAGGAAATTCTTCTGGTCGACCGCCTGCCTCTCCAGCCTCCTTGCTCGGTATTCCCTAATCTTGTCCCCTGACCTCGAGTCTCTGTCATCCTTGGTCTTGCCCTTTGCTTTCTATTTTTTTCATCTTCCTTTATTTTCTATCATCTTTTTATTTTAGAGATTTACTTATTTGTTTGAGATATTGGGGTTCAGAGAGACAGAGAGAGAAATCTTCCCTTTGTTGGTTCACCTCTCAAACGGCTGGAGCTGAGCTGGTCCGAGGCCAGGAGCTGGGAGCTTCTTCCTGGTCCCCCACATGAATGCAGGGGCCCAAGGACTTGGTCTACCCTTGGCTGCTCTCCCACGTGCTTTAGCAGGGAGCTGAATCAGCTGGCATTGCTGCGCCCATATGGGATGCGGGCACGACAGCTTGCAGCTTTGCCCACTGTGCCACAGCATCAGGCCTGCCTTGTCGTTTTTTATGATTGCCCCCGCTGCTCGGTCTGCCCGTGTTCCCCTCCTGATTTCCCTCAGCCTCACTGATGCCTGCCAGGTGTCAGCATGCTTGATGACGTTCCGTGCCCCCACCTGGGCCTTCTCCTGTCCAGGCCGTCCACATCTGTCATTGCCCTGACCCCAGTCCTCGATGGCCTCACTGAATTTTGTTGGCTAGTGCCGTCCAATGGAAATACAGTGCAGGCTCTACATGTGGTGAAACATTTCTAGAAGCCATATTTTAAAAAGTAAAACGAGATAGGTGGAATGAATGTTTTGTTTAAACAAGTATTTCTGTGTGGAAGTTGAGCATCTCAAATCTGAAAATCCAAAAATGTAAATGCTCCCAAACGTGAAATTTTCCGAGCGCTGTCTTGTTGACACGAGGAAAATTCTGCATGTGGCTTTGTGTGACAGGTCACCGGACAGGTGCAGTGCTTCACAATATTGTGTGACATTGTGGCGATGTGAGTTAAGCATATATGGGTTATAGGTTAGACTTGGGTCTCATCCCTGAGCTATCTCGTGAATGTGCAGATAGTTCAAAATCCAAAGAAAAGCCACATCTCTTCTTGTCCCAGGCATATTGGGTAAGGATTACTCTACCTGTATTTTCATTCTAATTTGCGTTCAGTGGACAAAATTACTGATGAGATGGCTTACATTTTCTGTTTGTCTGCTAAGTGTTTGAAGTCCAGTGTGAGTTCTACACTCTGAGTGTGTCTCCGTTGGCCGTTTCAGTCGCCGCAGTGGCCGACGTGGCCGCTGGCTCCTCTGCTGGACACCGTAGCTGTTTGTTGGCTTTAACTTCGCTTTCTTCTAGGTAAGACTGTGACCCGTTTGAGAACAGGGACTGCATTTTGTTCTTGGTCACCTTAGCTTCTCGCCTGCCATCTGGCACATAAGGAGGGCTCAGGGACTGTTTATTAAGTCACTGAGTGGAGCGTGATTCTCTGAGGTGCTGCCCTTGGGCCCTGGTCATAGCCTGGAGCTCTGAGGCCCCCGGAGGGGCAGTGAGTGGTCCAGGGTATGAGTGTAGTTGAAGCAAGCTGTAAGTCCAGGTTTACTTGCTGCACAGCCTGTGCCTCCGTACCTTGTCCCGCCTTCCCATTGGTTCTGTGAATCAGAGTTGTTTCTTTTTTTTTTTTTTTTAGGATTTATTTATTTTTTATTGGAAAGTCAGATTTACAGAGCGAAGGAGAGACGGAGAGGAAGATCTTCCATCCACTGGTTCACTCCCCAAAGAGCTGCAAGAGCTGGAGCTGAGCCGATCTGAAGCCAGGAGCCAGGAGCTTCTTCCGAGTCTCCCTTGTGGGTGCAGGGACCCAAGGCTTTGGACAGTTCTCACTGCTTTCCCAGGCCCACAAGCAGGGAAGTGGAGCAGCCAGGAGGCGAACCAGAGCCTATATGGGATTCTGGGCATGTGATATGAGGATTTTAACCACTAAGCTACTGTTCCAGGCCCTCTAAGCCAGTGTTGAGTTGTTGGATTCCTGGAGGATTTTACATAGCTCCTGGCTCTTGAGCTGTCCCTTAAAGAATGGCAGAAATGTCCTGAGAGAGAGATTGGTGGTGGTGGTGGGGGGTGTCTCCCCTGGGTGATTGCAGTGGAAGAAAAAACTCCTAAAGCGAAACTTGTGATCTGCTACTACTGTCTGAGCGCTCTTCAGTGTGGTTGCGTCCAGGACTGGTTTCACATTCTAAATGGGAGCCCAGTTGTCCTTACTTTTGCTGAATTGGGTCAGTGTGTGTCATCTTCTCTAGGCCTTGTCCTCTGTTGGTGCCCTGTGAGATTTTGGCCCGAAGGGCCACGCCCAAGGCCAGGCCCTTTGTTGGCTCCTCCCTGATGCTCTAGCAAACTGGGTGTGGAGTCGGGATGACCAGCTGTGGCTCCTGTCTCAGCCAGGTAGTAGTTGTTTTGCTTTTTATCAGTTTGGAGGCAGGAGGGGCTGAGAGGGGGCAGGAGGGGCTGAGAGGGGGCAGGAGGGGCTGAGAGGGGGCTTCACTTCCCAAATGCTTACAGCATTTCTCTGCTTCACTTCCCAAATACTTACAGCAGCTGGGACTGGGTCAGGCCAAAGGCATGAGCTGGGAATCTGTGCGGGTCAGATTGCTCTCCACTCTGGGCCCCAGGTGAGCCAGTACCAGCTGCCTCCCGGGTGCTTATTAGCAGGGAGCTGAATGGAAAGTGGAGCCAGGACTCCAGGCACCCCAAGCATTGTGTTCAGGTGCAAGGTGTGGCTCTGGGAAGGCACCTGAGCCATCAGAGCTTCAGTCTCTGTTATGGCATTACCAATTTTATTGGATGGCAGCATGGGTCAAGTGAAGTTGAATATCCCCGGGGCCTGGATGTTGGGGGTTGCTAACTGCCTGCTAGTTTTGTTACACTTCTGCCACAGTGTGCCGCTTCCTGGATAGATTTCTGTGCCCACAACCCCGGATTCATTCCTTTGTTACCATGCTCCAGAGTGTGCCTTCTTGCAGCTCTAGGCTTCCTGAGGCCTGGGCCCAGGCTTATCCATCCACAGGGCCCTCCAACACATGACCCTCAGGCACTTGCTGCCTGGCCAGGAGGGGACCAAACAGAAATGTTTTCTTTATAGCCAGTTTATACTGCTGCGGGCAGAGTCCTCATGAATGTCTTGGAGAAGGAGGTCTTGGGGGAAGATGTCGGAGGGAAATGTCTGGTGAAGAGCCGAGGGCAGGAGGAGGCTGGACTGTGGATCCTGCGCTCCGGGGTGTTGGTGGCCTGGGGAGTTGAGCGTTCAGAAGTGCAGGTGCCGGCTCAGTGAGGACAGGAAGCGTGTCTGTTTCACTTTCCACTGTCTCGTGGTGGGGAGAGGCTGAGTAACTATTGGATGTGTGAATCTGTTTTGTTCTGTGTCTGTTGGAACAAATGACCACCATGTAAATACCAGCTCTGTATTTAGCAGTGGCTTGCTCACTGTGGGAAAGTGCATGGACGTGATGTCAGCTGAGGTGTTCGCTCTGGGACACAGTCTGGCACTGTGTGTTAACTTTAGAAATGTGCGCTTTGTTAAAGTAACAGCTCTATCGAGAGTTAAGAGGGCACTTGTGAAAGTTCTCGAGTTATGGAAAAACTTTCTGGATTTCCAAATTTTTTGCCCTAACATGAACTTACTTTTTATTTTTAAATTTTTAACTT